GCGAATACATCAAAATTATGTACCGATCCTTGTATGTATCAATTCGCTAAATTATTTTCACTTTTTATGTCGTTGATTATATATGTATGTAAATCAATTTACAGAAAAGAAGTGTGGGACCGTGGTCAATATCAAAATAAGCTAAAAGATGATTGTTCGATCCTTGAAGACACACATATTCACGAGATTATGCATAATATCATATACAATACAATTAAAGATTCAAACGGGAAGATTGCAATAGACTGGACTGGTAATATAATTAATGAAATATGTGATGAATATAATGGTGAATATGTAATTAATGAGAATTATATGTTACTAAAAATTTATTCATAAGGACTCAAAAGACTTCGGAGGAGGGAAATGAAAAAGTCGACTTAGACTATGACATATGGTTAAGTCAAATGAAGGCAACTGAATGGAAAATACAACAAACTACATTTCAATCACGAAACATCCCAGACTGGATGGCACAGTATCGTATTGGTGATTTTTTGTATGAGTTTTTGTATAGTGAGGCTGCCGGTCCACCATATCAATCTATTACTGTTCAAACTGAAGGAAATCGTCAGAAATTAATTTGTTTTATGTCTCAAAGTGTACGACGAGCAAAAGAAAAACTTGTCTCACAATTTTCCAATATTACCGATGGTGCTCTAATGGATGATGTTTGAAATATACTCTGTTTTGGAATGTTGCTATATGGTAATAACTTTTAATTGATCATTCGCTATCATAATTAGTATTATGCTCATTATAATTACCATTATAATAATAATAGGGACCAATCTGAAGATTTTATACTATGACAAATCAAAGTACAGGTTTGGAGTAATCACCACATTGATGAACATACAATTGCCACTTCATTCTCAAGTCGATAGAAATCTTGTGAAAAACTATTTGATCGGTTTGGTAATTTTTCAACGTGGAATTCTTGGAGCGATCGAAGGAATGAAAAAAACTATCTGAGAGATGTAATGATCATATGATCGCACAGCAGAACAATTTGTACATTATTTGTAATGATGACGATGAAAAAGAGAATATTGATCCTTCGCCACAAAGAATGAAAGGAGTGAAACTTAATAATGCTATATATTAGTTTTAATAGTAAAAAGAGTGAAACTTAATAATGTTAATTTTAATAGTAAATAAATAATATCGAGATCTTCCATAAACATTGTGAAATATTGATTGCCAAATAAAGTCGTATCCCGAAGGATTGTTTTATTTAGTAGCGTGGTGTAATATACAAAAAATCACACAAATATTGATCGTAGAGTTACATGTATTATAACGTTAATATAAATTTAATGAAGAATTTTTGCCAATGATCTTTAGTTTAGAATATTTACCATTTAATTTATTAGAAAAATATAATTTTCAAAAAATATCTAATTCTCATATATTAATGAAATCCATTTCTTTTTCATATAGTCATATTTATTATTAATATTATTTACAATATCTTAAGTATAAGTATTTGTTTTATTTAGAATTTATTAAAATTAATAACAATATAAAATTTATTATTTGTAGAATTACTAAAGAAAATTTCAAAATTAAAATTGATTAAGAAGATAAAATTCAATTAGTAGAAAATGATGAATCTGAAGAATTACCAAAGCAAATATTATTTAACTCTTAATTGTAGAATAATTTAAAATAGCACTTCAAATATTTATAAAAACTAATTATTTTAATATATATAATAATATAAGTGATATTAATATTTTAATATTAAATTAAATTTTTATAAAAAATAGACCAATTAAAATTAAGTATTTTATTTATAATTAAAAGTATTACTTACAAAATAGTTGATCATTTGATCAATCATAATATAATACTTATTTAGTAGATCACATATAATACAGATATCATATGCATATGCTTCTGATTATTAATTCACTTTAAATAAAAAGAAAAACATTTTATTTTGAGATTTTTCTTAAGAAAATTATTTTTTAATTTTTGCGATAATTCTTATATAATGTTAAATAAGAAGTAATAGAATGCTTCAGATGCTTTAACAGTTCTCATTATCTAATATAATTTTAATTTTAATGTATATTTACAGTGATACAATTTTTTTCTATAACTTCTGATTTTAACAGGTTTTTTCTAGTAAATTATATGTATAATTGACGCATATTATTGAAGCTTTCTAACTTACTAAATAATATGTCATTATGTCAAAAAAAAGAATTTTAAAAACTAAATTTTTTTATATATTATATACAATATATTTTATCTGAATTTAATTGACACTTTTCAATTATATTAAAAAAAGGAAAAATGTTATGCCTTCTAAAAATAAAGATTTGGTAATCAAAATCATAATACAATTTACCCATAATTAAAAAATTGCATGTGTTTTCTAATTTAGCTATGGCTAATTATTAATTTTCTTTAAAATCAAAGAAATAATTGAAATATAATATTATCATTAAAGCAAATATTCTTACGCATTTAAAATTTTTAATATATTTTGATGTAATGTGAACTAAAAAAATCAATGGTAAAAACTACACAATGTATTACTTTCTAAATTTAGTTTATCAAATTTTATTTGAATAATTATTTATAAATATTGATCATTTTCGTTATAAAAGAAATAAATTTCAAGCAATCTTCTCCTATATCTTTCTATTTTCCTTATCTTCTACTTTTCCTATATCTTTTATATCTCCTACTTTTACTATATCTTCTATATCTTCTACTTCCCTTACTTCTTTTTTTTTTATATTTTTTCTCTTCTCAGTTTTTTTTATTTTTTTATATATATATTTTTTTATTTTCCCTACTCTCACCTTCTTCTGATCTTTTTTATCTTTTTTTTACCTTTTCTTTCCCTGATCTTTTATTTTTTCTACCTCTTTCCTTCACCTTTTCTTTTTTTATCTTCTCCACTTTCCCCCTTTCCCTATTCTTTTTTATTTTTCTTTTATTTTTTTTTATATTTTTTTTTTAAAATCTTCTATATTAAAAAGATTTTTTACAAAAAATTACGATATATATATAAGTCAAAGTTCAGTTTTATTTTATTTTCTCTCTTTACAATATTTTAATCACAAATAAGAAAAAGTTATACCATAAAAAGTGTGATCATTGATGTCAATAAATAAGTAAAAAAATAATGTATTTTATCTTGTGAAATGTGAAAGTATTTTGTTAGTAAAGTGTAAGAGCATAATAATAAATTTTGATCATGAAGGTTTGCTATTTTTATATGTAGATTCAGTTAAAATGATATTCTAAGAGCTTCTTAAAGTTTGAAAAGAAAGGTTCTTACACTTTTAGAGTTAATATCTTTATAATTAGAATGGAAATTAAGTTTTTATACTAATGCGTCTTATTTCACATATATTTTTTCTATATATTCCTATGTAATACCTATTACCCACCTATTCAAACATATTTTTTACTCTTATATTTTTCATTTCAAAATTAGAGTACAATGACAGCATTATTTTTAAACAAGTTTTTATTAGACTTATCCTGATTGAAGAGATAGATGCGTTCGAAAAAAGCAAAAAAGAAAAGATAATAAAAAAGAATTTTAAAACTGAAATGGCACGCTTGAATTGGAATAGATGAAAGAAATAAAAATTTAAAGCAAAATCTAGAGATTATTTGAATGAATGAATCTAATAAATGAAAATCATTTTTTAAGAAATCAAAATAATTAATTATTGATTACACAAGATAATTCCATATAAAATGATTTCTTTTAATATTTTTCGTATACTTTTCTATTTTATTTTACTGTGCCACATTTTTTAACCAATTATATATAACAAAAAAAAGCAATTAGAACTTAATATTTGTATCACGAATATGTATTCCCATTTTAATAAGTTCTAAGTTAACCTTATTCCTTTATTTTTAGTAATAATTCATTTACTATAAAGCTTAACAAAGATGAATAATTATATCAATTGATTTATGAAAAATATTAAATTAAAAATTTCTGTTAGCATTTTGAGTATGTAAATTAGAATCGAAAGTGAGACATTCATATTTATTTTACCGTCTAAAATAACCTTTGCATTAATCATTCATTATTCATTTATAAATAAGAAAAAAAAGTTTATATTTTTATTGATTAGCCATTATTATTAGGAAAAGTATTATATATAGTTATGGTAAAAAAAATTGACATTTTTTTATAACTTCATACTTTCGTGAGTTTTACGTCTAAAGATATAAATTTAGTATCATTAGATTCATCTCAATAAGTTGAATTTAATGAGCTATAATTCATTTTTCTATAATAACTAGATATAAAAAAATATCATAAAATGTTATGTGTAATGAATGTCAATAAATACTGCTAATTTATTTGGCACTTTATTTCATAATTATACAAGCTTTACACTTAAAGATATGAATTTATTACCATTCAATTTGTCTTAATGAGACGATTCTAATGAGTTATATTATA